ATATGTGAATTATAGTATACACTGCTGTTTCTTTTCTGTAATGTAATTATCTCTGGCTCTGGATGTATATATTGATACGAATAACTGATAAAGAAAAAGAAAAGAAAAGAAAAAAAAAAAGAAAATGAATGATCGATCAGATGAATCCTTTCACTACACGGATCTTGGGTCGTTATAGAGCCTATACTTCTCGACCGCAATAAAAGGAAGACTTGGACTTCTGCCGACGAAAATGACTAAGGACGAGAAAAGGGAAGAACAAACTCTTACATTTCAAATTAAAGAAATTAAAAGAAGTTAAAAACTACAAACTCGACTCGATCTCAAAGACACCCTAAAATTGCTTCACTTAGAGAAGAAGGATACAGGTGGAGTGGCACTTGTGGAGAGACGAAAGAGGTTAAGAGCCCGAGAAGAAGGGTGGAAAGATCCCGCAGGATTTCCGGAGGGGATGAAAAAGAAGATTGGAAAGTGCCCGCAGGATTTTCAAAGCAAACCCGCAGGTTATAGCTTCCAAAAATAACTTATCATTCACTTTTTTTTCAAAAATTACAATACCCCCATATATATAGGTATGAAAGGGGAAGACCAAAAGACACTAACATTAAATTCCCATAGGAATTCTAAACATTACAAACATGAAAAAACCTAAATGCTTTGCACGGAAAAACATCCCAAACCCAAGAACCGAAGTAGCAGCCGCGGGAGCCAAGGAGGCCGCACGGGAACCAAGGGGCCACGGTCACAGGAGGTAGCTCAGGCACGGGAAACTAGCAGCCGTCCAGAATCCAAGGGGGTAAAAGCACATAACAAAAATTAAAAACCTTGGTGGGAGCCAAGGAGTCATACATGTGAAGACTAAACAACTATCTTGGGATTCCAAAAGCCCTTTTTGGAACCCAAGAGACATCATAAAAGAAGACATTAAAAATTATAATAAAAGTGCATTAAATAAAAGATAAATATGAGCTAAAATTTAGCTAATAATGAGCTATCTTTTAGTTCCATTTAATGAACTAAAATCCAGCTCATAAATGAGCTAAAATTCAGCTCATAAATGAGCTAAAAT